GCTAGTTTTAGAAAGGCTTTTAAAGAGCATTTGAAATAAGAGTTCAAATGCTGCTCTGTTTGAAAGATATTTTTAGAACGTTTTATCTTAACTGAAATTAAGAAAAGCTTTAAGAAATTTAGTGATTCACTTATTTGAAATTATTGTTACAAATTATGAAAGTATTCTTTCTTATATTAAAAAAAAAAAATGTTCCGCAAATTTTAAGAAACCCCAGTAAGTACAAGTTAAAGTTTAAGTTACAGTGGCGGCCTCATAGGAGGGTCGTCACAAAACAGGTGCGCTGCAGCGCCTGTCCAGAAAACAGGCTCGCTGCAGCGCTTGTTTTGGGTGCTGCAGCGCTTGCAGTGCAGACCTCTCGGGTCTGTTTTGCGTTGCCCGAGCGCTGCAGCGGGGAAAACACCCGCTGCAGCGGGTATTGCTGCAGAAAACTATGTTTTCGTGTGTTTATGTGATCTGAAAGTCTTGAACCATTGTATCCATTGGTGATATGTTTTCACACATATCTGAACACTTATTAGTAATAGATATAACTATTGTAATAGGTGTATCAATCCATGAAAAGATACCTTTATATTGAAAATGTATCTTTATGTGAAATGTTGTAATGTTTAAAGAGGATGCATTCATTCATGAAATGGCACCCCTGTCTTTAATAATTCTCTAAAAAATTTACAGACTTTATTTAATGTTATGGAACTCAATATTATTGCTAGATATTGTGTTCAAGGGTTTGTTGTATCTTGGGAGTAATTTGCCATTAAAACTCATTATCAAATTTTGAGAAGTGAAGACAAATAAAATCTTAAAGAAAAGTATTTCTATATGTCTCAAATTCTCTCTTATTTCTGTATTCTTTTCACCCTGCACACTCAAATTTCTCCAACAAATTATGCCTATGCGTTGCATGTGACAGAGCTATTGCGGACTACCTAACTCGTGATCTTCCGTATCGATTGTCGCCAGAGGATGTCTATGTCACTTGTGGATGCAAGGCAGCCCTATTCTCAGCTCTGGCGCGTCCCGGTGCAAACATTCTGCTTCCTAGGCCCTTCCCACGCTACGAATCTCTCGCCGCTTTTTGCAACCTCGGAGTTCGTCGCTTTGATCTCCTTCCAGAGAAGGCTTGGGAAGTTGATCTTGATGCTGTGGAAGCTCTTCCTGATGAGAACACTGTCGGTATGGTCATCATCAACCCGGGAAATCCTTGCTCTATTGTATTCACATACCAACACCTAAAAAATGTGAAAACTTTCTTCCTTTTTGTAACTGTGAATTGTACTTTTATGTGTGATTTTTATATGCTTATCAAAAGATTGTGATTTGTTTGAACTGCAGATTGCAGAGACTGCAAGGAAGCTGGTGATTCCTGTCATAGCAGATGAAGTTTATGGTCATCTCGCGTTTGGCGAAAACCCTTTTGTTCCAATGGGGGTGGTTGGATCTATTGTGCCTGTTATAACACTGGGGTCTATCTCAAAGAGATGGATGCTTCCTGGTTGGAGACTTGGTTGGCTTGTCTATCTCAAGTGATCCGACCGGTTTTTTTCGGAAAGTTGGGGTAGCAATTCTAGTTTTAATTTTCTAAGTTAGTTCTTTATGTACTTCAAAAAAAAAAAAAAGAAAAGAAAAGAAAAGAAAAAGAGTGAATTTAATTTTTATCCCTTTGCTTTCTTTTCCAGGTTGTTGGTTCAATTAAGAAACAGCTCACTCACTCCTCTGAGCCTGCAACTTTTATTCAGGTCTCTTATTCACATTACTTTTGTTTCTGATCATATATAGATTGGAATTTGTACCTTTATTTTACTATTTATAGTATCTCTAAAGTTGGACAAGTAATAATGTAATTTCTGTATCAGGGGGCAGTTCCTAATATTATTGAGAAAACACTAGGAGAATTTTTCTCAATAATTTTCCATTTAATTAAACAAGCTTCAGAAATTTGATATAGTAGAATTAAAGAGCTCCCATGCCTTACTTGCTCATACAAGCCAGAAGGTTGCATGTTTGTAATGCTAAGTACGCAGAGAACAATTAAATTCAATTCAAATGCTCCAGAAACAAGCATTCTATTCAAAAATATTTCAGTTTACTAAATTTGATTTGCAGGGGAAGTTGAATGTGTCGCAACTCAAAGATATTTCAAATGATATGGAATTCTGTTTCAAACTGGCTAAAGAGGAATGCGTCATCACCTTGCCAGGTGATTATCAAATATAAGATTTACTGACATAAATTTAATTAAATGGCTCGTTTAGTTCATAAGTTTGAACAAAAATTCAAAATTTATTTTTCTAAGATAAAACACTATCAAACTGTGATTCGAAACCACACAAAAAAAAAAAAAGGGCCTTAAATTTTTGGAGTTCTATTTGATTGCACTTGTCCTAGAATTTGGCATGGTCATATTTAGAAATGTTGCATACTGAAAAGCTCACTTGGCAATATTGCAGGGGCTACTGTGGGGCTGAAGAATTGAGTTCGGATAACTTTTGCCACTGAGCTCTCTTTTCTTGAAGATGGCTTAGAAAGGATAAAAGCTTTTTGCCAAAGGCATGCAAAAATCCAATAAACTTTATATAGTGATCATTTCGTGACTGATGTCGTGCGCGATCAATTGTTGGATGTTGATCCCACATTTCTGTTTCAAATCTTAGGGACTTTGTTCTTCAACTATTTATTTGCTTGTTATGAAATAAGTGCACGGTTTTTCTTCAGCATAACTCATAAGTAATTTGGCGTCTCTAGAGCTATGTTAGGCATTGTTAGACCAAACAGACCAACAATCAGTATTTTATTCGCATAGAACGGTTAAATCAACACTCTTTAAACAAAAACTAAAAATGTTGTGAGGTAGAATGCGAAATAATCAAATGAACACAGCGATATTGTTATTTAACGTGACTAAAATCCCTTTTAGAAAAAAACCATGTGTGCTAATCACACCAACACAAAGAGGGTTTCACTATCACCAAATGCAGTTACAAAGCTTAAAATTACAAGAAACCTCTCAAATCTGCACCAACTCTTAACTTATAGTGACTCCTCTTGACTCGCCTTCGGACCTCCTGACCTACTTCAAGTATGATGTCCGCCTTCAGTCCTCCTGAACTACTTCAAGTATGATGCCCGTCTTCAGTCCTCTTTACTTACTCCGAGCACCACGATCCGCTTTCGGCTCCTCCTCAGACCTACTCTAGATCTTACAAAAGTCTACAGACTACAGAGTTTAAAAGTTACAAATAAAGCCTAAGGAACGCTCTGATTTTTTTATCACTCTTAAGCACAAAGGAGAACACTTTTTTTTTTCTCACAAAATGAACACTGAAATTTTGTCCGTACTCTCCCAATATGAAGGTCTCATGGCGACCTCCTTAAATAATGAACCACCCGGATATGAGAGAGGTTTAGAATCTCTCCACTTGATCTGGGTTGAGATCCAATTGCAATTTTCTCACTGAATTTCGGATGCACAAAATCTTTCCATTTTAAGTTTTCCTGAAATTTCAATTGTCATCATATGAACATGATTTAAATCCTTTGTAATGTGCGGACACACAACTAGCTTGTTAACTGGACAGATTACATGAATCCTGCAGCTGTCAAAACACTCAAGACAGACAGTTCGTGATTTGTTAATCAAATTGTAATCAATTATAATTCAATCAGATCTTAAATTACTCATGCAAATCTTAAATGAAACATCTAGAAAAACTTGGTCAATGATTGAATTGATCCTTAATGAACCTAGACTCAAATATGTGCAAAGATCAAATCTACATAATCTGAAATTTTTAAGAATAGATGAGATAAATTTGTGATAAGCAAATCAAAAATATTATCTCATATAATCAGTAATCTTATCCTGCAAAAGAATCTGAATATTAGCCCAAAAATCAACCTATATTGATAACTAACATAATATCTAATTATCTAATTAAATCGGGGTATTTATGGAAACAGATCATGGAAAAATCAATCAACAAAATAAGGTAACAAAGTGTAAAAACAGCAACACATAATTAAATTGATTTGATACAAGGTTGCCAAAAAAATGCATAAATCCCTCACCAATCACAAATGCCACATAGAAAGATTTGTGCCGCTTTGGATTATCCTAACAGGCATGTTGTTATAACGGTGTAATAATTTATGGCAATTCATATTGATTTATTATATATGTGTGCATTTGTTTTTATTAATTAGTAAGAGGATATAAAAGGAAGGGAATAATATTAAGGCCCCGTTCATTTTATTGATTTGAGTTTAGAATTTGAGTTTTATTATAGTAAAAAGCTCTCATAAATAGTCACATTTAACTTTTTTATTATAGTAAAATTTTTTTACATAAAATCACATCTAAACTCAAATTCAAAACTCAAATCAGTGAACTAAACGGCGCTAAGTGGCTGAGCCACTCACATACTTGAGTGCTTCGATAACTATTTTAAAATACAGATAGAAATGCTCTCTATTATAGTAAAAAGCTCTCATAAATAGTCACATTTAACTTTTTTATTATAATAAAAAACTTTTACATAAAATCACATCTAAACTCAAATCAGCGAACTAAACGGCGCTAAGTGGCTGAGCCACTCACATACTTGAGTGCTTCGATAACTATTTTAAAATACAGATAGAAATGCTCTCGCTGTTTATACAGAATGAGAACATGTATTTCACTAAAGAATGATGCCGAGGATACAAACTTCAATCCTAGCATTTTTTTTGTCGCTGAGCTGTTAATTTTTTATTAGTAAGTGTATAAAAGATTATCAAATCAATTAATAAGAAATACATTTATTAATTAAAAAAAATAACTCAAAGTTGATACACAAGTTGGGTATACAGCTGGTGTCCAAATACTCCTCTTTACTAAAAATACGTGGAAAAATGCTTGAGAACGCTACCAGTATTAGCACCGACAGTCATAGAAGGTGAACCCCACCAATACATTAGAGTACCACCAGTGTCTTATTGAAGTAAATGAAAGACTTTTATGATCACCCCTTGTAACTAGTCCAACTCTGATCGATACTTTTAACTACTCCAGGTTGACCGAAAAGCATCTCCAATCCAATTTTTTAGCCGCCCTGTATCATCTCTCTTACCAAAGAAATAAGAAAAAACAGCTGACTCTGTTCGGCCTACATCACAGGCAGTTTGGATTCTTCGACTCTTCTTGTTTTTAATTCAATCCCCATCTTTCTCCAAATGAAAGAACAAACAGACATGGAGAACAAGTGGAAGAAATGGAGTACAGGTGAAAACCCGGAGCATACAATTACAGAAGTGTCAAAAACCTGGAACATGAAAGATGCTTTATCTCTGCTTCAAGAAAATCTCCCTGAGGATGATCCAAGGTCAACAGTTCATCTTGCCCTCGGCGACCCGTCTTTGATTCGGTGCACTAGCCCTGTGGCTGAGGAGGCTGTCATTGAAGCCCTTCGATCATCCAACTTTAACGGCTACCCTTCCAACTGCGGTCTTCCTTTAGCTAGGAGGTCAAACTTTTCATATCCAAGACAACTCTCTTATTGCTTTTTCTTTCTTTTCTTAACTATTGTAGTTTTTTTCTTTTTCGTTTCGTTGGTAACGGCTATGGTGTGAATGGGAAGAAAATTGATTCTTAGTTTCTATTCTTACCAATTGGATAGCAGTGCATATCTTGTCTGATAAAACCTTTACCGTTTGTTTCATACTAGAAAAATTTGAATCTTCGTTCAAATTTTCTGTTCGAACCTATGAACTAGACGGGCTCTTGTTGACATGTTGTTCAATTATACTATCACATGTTACAGAGCTATTGCAGAGTACCTCTCTCGTGATCTTCCGTATAAATTGTCGCCAGAGGATGTCTATGTCACCTGTGGATGCAAAGCAGCCATCGAAACCATACTGCCAGCTCTGGCTCGTCCCGGTGCCAACATTCTGCTTCCTAGGCCTGGCTTCCCATGCTATGAATCCTTTGCAGCTCTTAGCAACCTCGAAGTTCGCCACTTCGATCTATTACCAGAAAAGAACTGGGAAGTTGATCTTGATGCTGTGGAAGCTCTTGCTGATGAGAACACCGTTGCTATCGTCATCATCAACCCGGGAAATCCTTGCCCAAGTGTCTTCACGTTCCAACACCTGAAAAATGCAATAACTTCCCTTCCTTTTTTTTTTTTAACTGTGGACTGTCATGTTATGATTTGATTGCTTCTCAAAATGTTTGTTGATTTGTTTGCACGGCAGATCGCGGAGATTGCAAGAAAGCTGACAATTACTGTCATAACAGATGAAGTTTACGCCCATCTCACGTATGGCGAAATCCCTTTTGTTCCAATGGGGGTGTTTGGATCTATTGTCCCTGTAATTACACTGGGGTCTATCTCAAAGAGGTGGATGGTTCCTGGTTGGAGACTTGGTTGGCTTGTCACAACTGATCCAACCGGGTTTTTCCGAAAAGTTGGGGTAGCAATCTAGCTCTTTAATCTCCTAATGGCACGTTTGGTTCATATGGTTGAATAGAAAGTTTGACCAGAAATTCAAATTTGTTTAAAATTTTGTAATAGAAAATTTTGACAAAAGCTAAGTTTGTTCTTGAAGTACTATAATAAAAGAACACATTGAATCCCTTGGTTTTCTTTTTCAGGTTGTTGATTCAATTAAGACACTGCTCTGTCACTCCCCTGACCCTGCGACTTTTATTCAGGTCTCTTTTGTTTAGATTGGAATTTTTAGCTTTATTTAGTATTTATAGTATCTCTAAACTTCATAGGTACTAATGTAACTTCTTTATCAGGGTGCAGTTCCTAATATTATCGCGAAAACACCAGAAGAGTATTTCTCAAGAACTGTCCATATACTTAAACAAGCTTCGGAAATTTGTTATAGTAGAATTAAGGAGATCCCATGCCTAACCTTCTCATGTAAGCCAGAAGGTGGCATGTTTGTAATGGTGAGCAAATACATAGGAGAACTGAATTCAATTTGAATACCGCATAATCGATAATTTTGTTCAGTATTTCAGTTTGCTACTTTGATTTGCAGGTGAAGCTAAACCTGTCACAACTGAAAGACATAAAAGATGATACGGAATTCTGTCTCAAGCTAGCAAAAGAGGAATCTGTCACCACCCTGCCAGGTGATTATTGAATCTTCGATTTATCGGTACAAACATAATTAGTCACCAGAGCATGATTTGGGCAATGTTCATATAAAGAAATGTTGCGTACTGAAGCGCTCACTTTGGCATTGCAGGGACTGTTGTGGGACTGAAGAATTGGATCCGGATAAGTTTTGCAACTGAGCTCTCTTTTCTTGAAGATGGCTTAGAAAGGATAAAATCTTTTTGCCAAAGGCAGGCAAAAATGCAATCACTTTAAAACTAGTGGAAATTTCGTTATGGATGTTGTTTGATCAGTTGTTGGATGTCGGTCCCATTTCTGTTTTTGAAATGTTAAAGACTTTTTTTTTTTTTTTTTTTTTTTTTTCCTCTGTTTTTTCTGAAATAAGTACATGGTTTTTCTTCAGCATAATTCATAGGTGATTTGGGGTCTCTAGACCTGTGTTGGGTAGAGGGAAGGAGAATACAAAGCCCGTACATTGTACTCTAATTAAATTACAAAAATAATAACATGAATACAAAAGTTATACCTGTAATAAATTGCAATATATGTATGGGAATGTGGTTTATTAGTGAGTATGAGAGAATGAAAATGTAAAAAAATTGTAAAATTTTTTTTTTCTCGCATCATGTTATTAAATAGATGTTTTTTTTTTCTCTAAAAAAATTGTTGAGACAATAATTCTTGATGCAAGGCAAACCAAGTCCACTTTTTTTAACCCCCCAGACTAATCACTCTATAATTGGACGGGTATCTTTTGGTGTGCTGACATAGATTTCCATTTTCCAATCCACTTTATATGATTGGGATATATAAAGAAAAATTGCTTTTCAGCTAAAAAAATTAGAAAAATTGGTGCTAGTAGGACATCAAAAAAAAATAAAAATAAAAATAAAAACTTGATAGTGGGGCACAATTTAAGACATTTTTAATCCAGATAACCTCTAAAGCTAACACGTGTCTAACACTTTTTGATGGGATCACAACTTCAATCTTCTTACTAGGAAAATTAATGTGTTCGATATTCTCTTTCGATTTCTCATTATTGGAATTTAATGCACGTTTTACTCTATTTGTGTTTTGTTCGAATTTATTGATGATCCGATCAATGATCCAAGTTAAGTTTTCTTATATTATAAAATCATTCAAGTTAGTATTACGCCTTGTTCGTTTCACTTATTCAAATTTTGTTACATAAAAAGTTTTGACAAATAATTACATTTAATTTTTTTATTACAATAAAAAGCTCTCACATAAAATTACATATCAACTCGAATCAGCGAAACGAACGAGACCTTATTTTCTTGATTGGCCAGCCAACTTCATCATCAGAAAATAAAGATGTAAATCAACGGCTCACTACCTTTACTACAATGTAAATCCAACGGCTCAAATACTTTTAGCAATACATATCTGATCATTGACCATTTAGGCTCCATCCAAAAAGGAGCCCACAACCCATGATCCCATCAAAATGGCCCATTTGGTGGGGTCCCAACAACAATGTCCAGAAAAAACGTTACCAGACAAAAGGCCTGTCTCTTACCGTTGTCTCCCACGGGTCTGCCCTGTCTCCCACGGGTCTGCCCATTACCTATCTATCCCCGCCGCTAAAATTCAAAACATTTAAAAACTAAAAAAACCCTTTTTCTCCCAACGGCTACTTTTGACTCTTGGAAGGAACCACCTTCAAGAACCAACAAAAACCACCCAAAAACGCAGAAACAATTTCCAACAATCAAGAAGAAATCTCTCTCCAGGAATCTAGAAAGGCACCCTTTCATAATCTGATCAAGACCCAGAAAATTTTCACAATCAATCGAAGAAAATCAGCTCAAAACTCAATCAGCTCAAAACTCATGGATTCAACGCCTCCATATCACCACAGCCGATCCGAGCCCAAGTCCAGGACCAAATCGGCCTCACGCTTGTCCCAAACCGAAGAGCTTCCCTACCTCTCAATCGGTCTCACCACATCGCCGAAAAGGACTCCGACGCCGTCCGCTTTGTCTCTCAAATCTCCCGCTTCCCTCCCTCTTCATGAGCTTCTGCTTCTCTCTCCTTCGCCTCTTAGGAAATCGTCGAAGGCCCGCATCACCGACCGGCTAGAAATGGCTGAGGAGGCCGTCGCGGATCCTGTGGGATCGCGGAGACGGTGCAGGAGCAGGACAGCTCAATTGGGGTTGCTGGGTTGCGCCTCGCCGAGGAACACGCGGAGGTCACGAAGGCGGTCGGAGCTGGAGGCTAGTAGAGAAGAGAAGGATTTGAGTTTGGCCGAAGAGTTTGGAAAGCCGAGAAAAAGGCGGCACAGCGTGAGGGTCAAGAAGGAGAAGCTGAGTTTGGTTCCTTCTTCCGTGCCCTCTTCAAGTTCATCTCCAAGTAAGTCCCAAATGTTCTGTTTCTTGCATTGTAAGAATAGTCTTTTTCATTTCTTTGGTTTCTTTTGATATTGAAAAAGATTTTCTTTTCGGGTTTAGAAAGCGATGAGGAAGATCATGGCGGTTTGGACAGAATTGGACAGTTGATAAGTGATCTGGTCATGTGGAGAGATGTGGCAAAATCAAGCCTTTGGTTTGGTTTTGGGTTTCTCTTTTTCATGTCTTCTTGCTTTACTCAAGGAGTTAGCTTCAGGTACTTTCTTTCCCTCTCTCTTTTCAAATTCAGTCTTTTTTTTCAAAATCTAATACCAAATCTAAATCTTCATTTTTTCAGCATTTTCTCTGTAGCTTCCAAGCTAGGAATGTTATTCTTAGGCTTGTCTTTCTTCTCAAATTCACTATATCAAAGGTACATTTCTAACTTCTGTGTTTCCTTTTTTTCCCCTCGAAATAAGCTTTTTCTCTAATGGTTTTGAGAAACTCACAGGGAATATAGTGAAAAGAACAGAGAAATCAGGCTCAAAGAAGACGACATTCTACGTGTTGCAAAAGTCATACTTCCTTTTACAAATCTTGCAATGTCAAAGACAAGACAGATTTTCTCAGGAGAGCCATCCATGACCCTCAAAGTACTCAACAAAACTCCATGGTTTATTTCAAAACGCATTTTTTTTAGATTGTCAAATTTATCACTAGTCAACTAAACTTAAATTTTTATGTTTGCAGGTAGCCCCATTCCTCCTCTTAGGAGCTGAATATGGTCACCTCATAACAATGTGGAGACTTTTTGCAATTGGTATTCTGATAGAATCTTGTCAAGTTTTTTTTTTTAATTAATTTATTTATACTAGTAACGTTTTGAGTGGACTTTCAATCAGGGTTTTTTATTGCTTTCACGGTTCCTAAACTCTACTCATGCTACTCCATTCAAATAAGCCAAAAAGGTATGAAGATCAGCCAAATGTGTTCCAGCTATATATATATACATGTTTCTTGTCTTGATGTGCGTATGTATAGTAATGAAGTAAAAATTTTGGCATGCAATGCAGTTGAGTTCTTGAAATGGCGCGTATTGGATGCATGGGGAACCTGCTCACACAAAAAGATTGTGGCAGCATCAGCAATCACAGCCTTTTGGAATCTATCTACCATAAAGACACGAATTTTCACAGGTAACTTGTGTTACAAGATTTTAATTACCTGTTATAGTCTATGGCATAGTCTTAAGTCCTTCGGCATTACCGGTCCTACACGGGTAAAATGTTAAGATTAAGGTGTAGTATAATATTTAATGTTACATAAAAACTTAAATGTCACGTTACACCTCAAACTTTTCATATGTTACGACATAAGACAGTCCTTTGCGTTTCTCTTTCTAGGCACGAAGCCTCAATTTTCTTAAGCTCAAAGCATCTTCTAACACTAGACTGATTTCTCTAGAATCCCAAATTTCCAATTCTCAGTTCTTATGCTTATGAATTTTTATTTTTATTTTTATTTTTGAATTTTTTGCAGCATTTATCGCTTTGGTATTACTTCGATACTGCCGGCAGCATATGGTTGAGGAAATAGAAGATAAGGAAGTAGAAGGAGATGAGAATCAGCAGCAGGCTTTGGTGTTGGCTGATGTGGGTAGCCAACAGAAGTAGAAGATTGTATTTCTGTATAATTCTATAATCAGCTAACACTCTGAGATGGAAAAACGACTATTCTATTCCTTTTTTCTTTTTTTAAATGTACAAATAAGTTGTCTTTTATATTGTTTTGAGCTTCTTCACTCTTGTCTTGAGTGTCATCAAAGAAGTTGAAGCACATTCATGAATCATAAAGAGGAACACAGATCTCGGGAAGAAAAAAAAAAACTTTTAAATGGTTTTAAAAAAAAACTTTTAAATGGTTAAAAAATTTATTATGGTCAAGAACAGATTTTTTTTTTTTTTAGCAACATAGTTATAGTTGTTGGGTTGATAGTGGGTATTTTCATAATTATAACCATAAAAAGAAGATATATATAAATATGATGAAACAAACAATAAGATATATATATATATATATATATATATGATGAAGGTCAAAGGCTAAACTAATTATTTGGGTTGTGAAGGAAACGATTAAATCGTGGATAACTGAACTTGACTTGGCTTTCCACGTAATCCCCAACGCAAGAGAGGATAAAAGTGTTAGGAATTTGAAGATACTCTCTCTCAAGTCTTGATGTCATACGACAACAACCTCTCACAATCAATCAAAATAAACAAGAGTCTGTCTTTGTTCAAATATCCCAATGGCTTTGCTAGCTCGCCCAAAGTAATCTTCAATTTTACTCCGTCATCACCCACAAGAACTATTTTTTTGCCCCGACGAATCCCGACCGTCCGTGCAGTTAGCAAGCCAATGGACCCGCGTCCCATCAGCCGAACACTGGCCGCCGATCAATTTTTACACGATCACACCGGAATATCCCGATCGTCCCTGCAGTTAGCAAGCCAATGGACCCGCGTCCCATCAGCCGAACACTGGCCACCGATCAATTTTTACACGATCACACCGCAATTTTGCATCGACATTTTCATCGATATCGATCTGCTTCCACCTCTGGGACTTAAGCGCGTAGACATGAGCTAAAGGCTCTCCCCTTCCGTAGTTGACGAGCACTACTTTGTAGTCGCCTGTCCTCGGATCATGTCCGATCGCAGCGCAGAACTCGGGTTGTACCATGGACTCTGGACCTAGGGGCGGGGGACGAATCTCTAGGGGGTGCTCATGAATTGACGGGTTCCATAGGATTGTAATACATTTACTTCTGTACTCGTGATTATAAGTAGAAACTATGACGAAGCAGGTAATGCCGTTGCTGGAACCGACTGGCCACAGGTATGAGGCGGTCGTCGGAGCATGTTCTAGCTTGGTGAATTGGGTGCCTCGGAGGCGGAAATAAATGAAGTGACGTTCGGTTGAACTCGCACATTGGAAAACGGGACTGAGATTCGGGCGAAGTTTGGGCTTGAGATGTGAGAATTCCAGAGTTTGGAGACGCACTTGAACTTGGCCAGCGATTTGAGTGGCAGTCTTGGCAGGATTTCGTCCGCAATAAGGTCCCATGGGAGGACTGTTAGAGAGATTGTAATATATCTCTCAATTTCGATATCACAAAGTTGGCCTAAACCACATTCAGAAAGAACAGGTGCGCGCGCTGCAGCACGCCTCTTGGGCGCTACAGCCTGCGCAAAACAAACCTCTCGGGACTGTTTTGCGAAGCCCGAGCGCTGCAACGCACGGCAGCGTGCGCTGCAGCGCACACAAAACAGACCTCTCGGGTCTGTTTTGCGTAGCCCGAGCGCTGCAGCGTGAATGTCTTCCGCTACAGCGCAAATTACTAACGAAAAACGTATTTTCGTATGTTTTAGTGATCTGAAAAGGTCTTGAACCATTACATCCATTTGTAATATGTTTTCTCGAACCATTGCATCTATTTGTAATATGTTTTCTCACATATCTGAGCACTTATTAACAATAGAAATAACTATTGATATAAGTGCATCAGCATATAAAAGATAACCTTTAAAATTGAAAAGGTATCTTTATGTGAAAGGTTGTAACGCTTAAAGATGATAGATGCATCCATGTCTTTAATTAATGGACATCAGAAAAAATACATATTTTATTATTGTTCTGGAACTCAATATTTTTTGCTGGATATTGTGTTCAAGGGTTTTTTGTATCTTGGGGGTAATTTACCATTAAAAACTCATTAGCAAACTTTGAGAAGTGAGGGCAAATAAAATCTTAAAGGAAAGTATTCCTATACGCCTCAAACCCTCTTTCTGCTTTCTCTATTCTTTTCTTCCTCCCAAATTCGAATTTTTTCAACAATCTTTAAGGTTTTAAACTTGCTGCAATGGAGGTTGAAAAGAACATGACGTCTTTCCTCAATCCTAATGTTCAACTTGATCGTTTTGATGGCACCAACTTCACCCGCTGGAAGGGAAAGTTGTTCTTCCTTCTCACCGTGCTTAAGATGGCCTACGTGCTTGATCCGTAATTGGAGCCACTTTCTGAACCAAAGGAGGATGATTCTGAAGAATTGAAGACCGCAAGGAAGAAGCGTGGAGATGATGAAATCATGTGTTAGGGTCATATTCTCAACACTCTCTCCGATAGGCTCTATGATCTTTACAACTCGATGGAGTCTCCGGTGAAGATTTGGAACTGTCTCGAATACAAATACAAAACTGAGAAGAAAGGTACGGACAAATTTCTCATTTTGAAATTTCTAGAATTTGTCATGGTTGATACCAAGTCCGTTCTAGATCCAATACATGAATTGCAAGTCATTGTTACTAAGCTTCGTGAATTGAAAGTTGAGATTTCTGAATCATTCCAACTGGGGGCAATTATTGCTAAATTGCCTCAAAGTTAGAATGGTTATAGAAAGAAACTTCTTCATAGGAGAGATGACATAGCTTTGGAAGAATTACAAAAACACTTGAGAATCGAAGAAGAGACTAAGTCTCGTAATTCCAAGAACAAAAATGTAGATTCCTCTAAAGTTAATGTTACTGAAGCTAGTAAGTTTTTAAAGAATTTCAAAGTCAATAATGACAAGAAGTTCAAAAAGCCCGGTAATGGCCAAAAGAAATTTTCTAGAAATTGTTTCTTTTGTGGAAAGAAATGCCATCGCTAAAATGACTGCAGATACAAGAAGAAAAAGGAAGAAGTTAACACCAACAATGCCAATGCCGTTGAAGAGAAATCTGAAGACATGTGTGCTATGGTCTCGGCATTGCAAATTGGCATGATTATCGAAACTAACATGGCTGCATCTAAATCCTCCGATTGGTGGCTTGATTCCGGTGCCACAATCCACGTTTGTAATGACAAGACTATGTTCTTATCTTACAAAGTGGAAAAGGAATGACAAATGGTTCTCATGGGGAATAATGATGCAGCGATGGTTGCCGGGAGAGGAGTGGTGGAGATTAACTTTACTTC